GTAATAATAGGAATATTAAAAATAGAAAACTTATACAAAACTGACCATCAGAACCTATTCTGGGAAGGTTAACATAACTGTTCTTTTTCTTATTTTCCAAGTCAAGTTTGATTGCTGAGGGTTTTATAGATATATTCATTTGGTTTTCTTGGCAAGAATACTGAAGTGGTTTGCTATTACTTTGTTCCAATTTCAACTTCTCACTTTAGCCTACAGTACAGCTATTTCTTAGCCATTATCTATCCAAATAATAAGTTGGTTCGATCTTGCTTAGCTACATTGCTAGATACTATGCTTCCAAAAGAAAAGATATGAATTAGAAATCGAACATGTACTGTAGGAATTTTATTCTGTGAAGACACCTCTTCTGTATTCTGAACTGACTGGACCAGAAGCTAATGTAATTTCAGAACTGGTGATGGATCATCATCCTCTACCTGAACTTTAAGCATTTTGGAACTAATTAGACAGCTGGTATGGCATGAACAGTTTTGCTATCAACAGAGGAAATAACCTGGAACACAGAAGGAAGACTTAGACCGGGTCTGCTATTGGTGGTCCACATTCACTCCAGAATTCACCACCAAAAGTGATTATCAAAAGTGTTTAAAAAAATAAGATTGTATCCAAACGCTTTACAGGTACTCTTAGAATGGGCAGGAAAGCATCATTTATCACATAAGGGGAAATAAGAGACAAAAAATTTAAACCCTGAACCTGACATATTAACATAGTTGGATTAATAAAAACTGTAGTAGTTGATCTTTGTTATTAAGGCAGCACCTTTTTCAATAAAAGCATTTTATGTATTTGAACCTTGTTCTTGAATCTTTCAATGCTAGGCTCATGATTGCATGTTTGCTTTCCTAGAAATTTATTTCCATGCCCAGGACGAAGCTATAACAAGAATTGGAAATTCTCGGGTTAGATAAAGCCATTATATAAACAATGAATGATATTTCAAAATCTCAAGTAAAGGAAGACAATGTTCAAATTTCTCTATATGCAAAAAAGCAGAAAGAAAAACTCTAGAATTTAAATGGAGGAAGAGGGAGAGAAGGAGGAGGTGGCAACCTGAGATCTGTAGTATATAGATTTTCACAACATGTGGCTTTTATCTTTTTGCAATAAAAGAGTTTATCTTACAATGTTGTATTTGTGAGTTTATGGGGTTGTTTGTACAGTCAATATTTATTGCTGTGCCTGCCATAAAGTCTAGTACCATCTTACTCTGTTGAAAAATCTAGCATACTTTAGTAACTTAATAAAGCAAAATACCATTTCCCAAAAAATAAGACCCAACCAGAAAATTAGCCCTAGCATGATTTTTCAGGATGCTCGTAATATAAGCCCTACCCCAAAAATAAGCTCATTAAAATGGTCAACCAGACAGACACATTTAATACCATATTTCCCTGAAAATAATACCCTAATGCATCTTCTGGAGATTTAAGACCCGGTCAGATTATCAGAGAAACATGGGTATGAGGTAGTGATGACTAACTGAAAGAGTTTTTAAAAGAGGAAAATTTATCGTTCCCTATTAGCTATAGTAACTTAGGGGCAATCTTCAGATTTAAATGCAATTTGTCTAAAAATAACAGATGCAGAATGAAATTAGGTAAGAGAATTATATTTATGTTTTATGATTTTATGATATTTTTTTTTAATGATTTTATTGACATTTGTAGGCCGCCCTTTTCCCTGAGGGGACTCAGGGCGGCTCACATAAAATCAGGGAAGGGGAAATGCAGACAATAACAAAGACACATATAATAAAAACAGTAACCAACATGCATTCATCATTCGGGAGGGGCTGTTCTGTTACTGTTCATTTTTGGAATTTTGGCTGAACTTTGGATCTTTTCCCTTATGGTATACAGATGGGATCTCACAGACAATGTTTTTATCATCTACAGAAGCTCAAGATACATTTAAAGCTGATTTTTCCCTTTCTGCATTATGCAACAAAATAAGGAATTAAATTACTATCAACAACAAAAAGGGTGACAAAAAGGTATTCAACATCGTTTTTTCACCATTAAATTAACATTGTCTGTCCAAAAATATAAATTAAGCTGGCATCTGAATAAAAATGCCATTAAATTACAAGACTTCAGTGAATTACTATTAGATAATGTATTTTCCCATCTATTACTTTGTAGCTTTCAGCACAAGTTCTGAAGGCTAGTTTTGAATTAATACGCTAACTCCAATCTAAAAAGATGTGTTGCCAAATAGATACGTACACCTTTGATTCTACTACTTCCTTTCATAATTGAGATATCTGTGGAAGACATGTTTTCATCCAAATACAGAACTACAGGCTTCTGACTACTAGCATCACATCATTAATCATTCTATAATGGTTAATGTGAATGTTGTTAAGTGCCAAATGCACTAGCCAAAGCTCTGGCCCATGGTATGCCAAAGATTTCAGATATTGCAAATCACAGATTGTTAACTATGGCTTCTAATAATTTATTAAGGTGATATTAACTTACAAAAAGTAGTGCCATTTCTGAAAACAGGCACATATTCTTCTGGTAGTGCACAGTATTCAAATCCAAAATGGAAAAGGTGCTTTAAATTTAGCATGAACATCTCACTGAAGCTTTCAATGGCATTTTAAAAGTTGGGTCTTTTCCTGGTCTCGAAGCATGCCAAAAATATGCTACTGACAAGTACAACAGACACGTCCATGCTAAATCCAATAAACCTTTCTCACTTTGGTTCTGAATACCATTAATTGCTATTGTCTTAATCAGGTAGTATACCAATTAAGAGAGAAATATGGATAGAATTTCTAAATGAGCAGGTAGTTAATGATTACAGAATATCATTTTAAAAATTCAGCCAATAGCCCTCTTTATACATTTGCTTCTATTCCCTTTTGGGCAAGGGCAATTTTAGTTACACTGACATATCAGCTAGCAATGACCTAAATTATGGCTTATAAACTTAATTACAAGTTTTGAATTATCATAGTCTGAAAACTGAGCTTTTAAAAAAGTAGATCTAAAGAGAATCTGTGGCTGAGATCGGAAAATGTATGATGTTATAAAGTGCTTCACAGGTACAAGAGTGCTAGTGAATTGGGCCAGTGGCCTGTCCAGTCCAGCACTCATTTTTCAACTGTGCAGAGTGACCAAGCAGATGCATTAGACCAAACATGGATAGGACAGTGATAATCCTATACTGTCGTTGCTTCTCAGATGACATTTAATATATCAGCCTATGATTCTATTTCAGCAAGTATCAATGCTCAGAAGACAGGAGAAAGAAAAAAAAATACCAGAGCTATAAGTTGGTCTAGAGAGTCAAAAAAACAGCCCAGAAAAAGAGGCTGGCAATTCCATTTTGCTTTGTTGTTTTAGTTATCAACTACTTTATTTTTCAGAGTATAAGATGCAAAAAAATGTGGGTGGAAAAGTCTGCATCTTATACAGCGAATATTCCAGTGAGGGGAGAAGGGGAGTTGGTGTGGCACCAATCAGCTGTTCTACAACGGGGCACAACGACGAATTGGCCCTAGCGGGGAACAGGCAGTGGTGGCGAATAGGCGGCGGCAAACAGGCATAGCAGTGAATGGCAAGCAGCGAATAGGTCATGGCAGTGAATGGGCTGTGGCAAATGGGCCAAATGAATACCGGATGGATGCTTGTTTTCCTCCCCAAAAGCTAGGTGCCTCTTATACTCCTGAGCATCTTATAGTCCGAAAAATATGGTATATGAATTCATCAGGAGTCAAGCTTAATTCAAAGGCATCTTTATCTTATCTACAATCCCAAAAGAACTATACAGCCAACAAGAATCGTAGGCACCGATGGAATTAACTTCAATGAATTTCTCCTACCATTTTTAAATCAGTCAGCCATCATGTCTGATAGCAGCAAATTCCACAGCTTAACAATAAGGCTTGGACAAAGCCTTTAAAAGAGAGGCTTCATAATATGCATAAGCCCATTTGAAGCATTTATTCACAAATCATTAAAGAAGCCATAACATTTGCAAGGCTCATGCAGCTGCTTCGAAAGAGGCAAAAGCAAAGCCAAGTGGTTTGTGTATGACCACACATATGGAAATAGTCAAGAGCAGCTGCACAAGCTTTGCAAGCATACTTTAGCAATTTGAAAAGAAAGGCTTTGTATATATGTCCACATGTTACGAAGCACTTCTTTAAAGGCTTTTCACAGTTCTGATAATTATTCATTCCATAAAGTAGTCAGTAGTGTGAATGGGGGAGGGGGGGTGACAAGGGAGAGAAGATCAGATAAAAGCCCCACTCCTTTTCTTCCTATATTGTAATTCCTGTCACGTACCCAATGAGGCATAGCTTACAGCACAACTACAATATTTAAACAGAAAGACAAAGATCCTGTGGAGGTGCTAAATGTAGTATTTTGTTTTATTGGACTTAAACATCCTCCATAATTAGTTTCAATGGGTGATTCTGAGTTTTAACATCACAACAGAAAAAGCAAAATGTTATACTGTTATACTTGGTTTGTAACCTATGTATATGCCCTGTTATTCTACAAGCTTTTATTCCATCCCTCTGCCCAATTTAAACAGCATGCCTCAAATTCACTTCTTAGTCTGTGTAAGAAAGCTGATGGGATAGAACTCGGACATGTATTTGTTGTCACAATGCTGCTTCACATTACATTTGCACGTTCACATTCTTTTATCTAGTCTTAATCTTTACGAAATAAAGTAAATGTAAGTCTAGATTGCGTCATGATACTTTTACATATTGTAGTTGCATGAGAACAAACACCTGACCGCATATAAAACAATTAACTATATGGATAATTTAGTATAACCTGCATTTGTTCAAATACCCACTACATTAATTCTATAGTGTACGATTATATAATTTTAATATGTCAACTACCAAGCTACAGAAAAATTAATGTTAAATTCTTCTGAATTAATGTTAACATTTTTACTATAACATTATGCTTATCAAAATTAAAGGCAATAAACCTATACAGTACCTTGGATTTCCCCGTAATGCAGCATGATGAAGAGCATTAAATCCATTGTTATTTGTAATAGTGACATCTGCTCCAGCTTCCAGAAGGACTGCTAAAATGTCATCACGCTTTTTGCTTATTGCGTCATGCAGAGGAGTATCACCCTCAGAATCCTAAAAATAAATATTAGTCAATTTGTATCAATTTCTTTATCTCCCTGTCTAACAACCTATCAAACGTCAAGAAAAAAAGAGCTAGATATGAAAAAAAATGTTGATGTTTGGACAGAATACATCTGTATAATTTTGAACCGAATTGATCTTAAATTAGCACAACTTAACAATATCTTCTGTGTAAATGTTAAGATGCCTTATATCATAGAAGACATCAATATAATTCTGTTTCCCTTAAGCACAGAGATATTATATTACAGATGCAGGAAAAGAATTGCCCTAAAATATTTTAAGCTTACTCAATAATAATATTGTAAAATACAAGTGATTTAATATACCTTTTATCACTGACTATATAAACTAAGGTTGATATGGAATGCTGATGAAGCATATTTCTGGCAAATAATCCCAATAGAAAGGGAAAGGCTTTTGTTTCAGGCCATAAAGTGTAGAGCTAGCCTCAAGCACATAAACAGATATAGAACACCTACAGAAAATATTCATGGATATGATCTATCAAAGCAATAAGAAAACAGATAATGTCTTGAAAGCAATTTCAGAGAAAGTTCATTTGATGCTGCCTTTTTGAATAGAAAGAAAAATGCCATTTTAGCATCCCAATAAAAAATAATGTAAAAAATCAAATTAACATATAATACAATACATTTCTATAGAAATAGACATTTTAACTAAATCAATCTCCCCCATCTATCCAAAAGAAAACCCAGCAAAGTTCATTTAAAAAGAAATATCCTGATATAAGAATATAATAAGAGCTTTGCTGAATTTAGCCAACAACATATTTAATTAGACACCCTGTTCTTTTATTAATTTCTCCTGTCCCTCTTGACAAACATCTACATCAAATCATCACTATATTTGGGTGGTAGCAAAGGCAGGTAAAACAAAAACAGGCCAACAGTTTCACAAAATTAAAGGACCACAAAAGAATTCCTGTTTACAATGGTGTACTTTTCTATTTAGAAATAATTGTTCAGATTTTATAGAAACCCAAAGTACTGCTCTTAATTTATTCATCTACATCATATCTAAACTACCATCACTTCAGTATATTCAACACTTCCATACATCCTCATAGGAAAGATGGAAAGCTGAACATTACCATGTTCTGATATTACACTCCAAATTATAACTTGGAGGCTAACCCTATTTAATATTTCAAAGTTATGTACATATGAAAAAATGCTCAAACTGAGTTCATAACAAATAAATAAAAATTAAAGAGCAATTAAATTACCTGGAGACTAGGATGGCAACCAAAGTCCAGTAACGTCTTCACAACTTGGAGATGACCTTTATTCACAGCAATATGAAGTGGTGTCTGTCTACGCTTATTGCGAGCATTGAGATCTGCACTGCCTCTATGTAAAACTTCTATCACAGCTCCTTCATCACCAAAGGCTGCATGATGAACAGCCCTGTCTCCATCTTTGTCCTAAATAATTAAAATTCAGCTACATAATATTTTTGTTCTACAGTTTAATGGGAGACTTCTAAATTGTTGTATATAGTTAATAAAAGGATGCAATGATGTAAAGCATCAGTAGCAGATGACGTGTGTGTAAAGTTCTACTTCACATTGAGACAGAATTAACATATAAAACAATAGCACTTAGACATGCATACCGCTTCAAAGTGCTTTACTCTATAAGTGGTTAACAGAGTCAGCATATTGCCCCCAACAATCTGGGTCCTCATTTTACCGACCTTGGAAGGATGGAAGGCTGAGTCAACCTTGAGATGGTGAGGATCCAACTAGCAATAGCAATAGCAGTTAGACTTATATACCGCTTCATAGGGCTTTCAGCCCTCTCTAAGCAGTTTACAAAGTCGGCATATTGCCCCCACAATCTGGGTCCTCATTTTACCCACTTCGGAAGGATGGAAGGCTGAGTCAACCCTGAGCTGGTGAGATTTGAACCGCCGAGCTGCAGAACTAGCAGTCAGCTGAAGTGGTTGCAGTACTGCACCCTAACCACTGCACCACCTCAGCCACCGCACCACCATGGCTCCTAGCAACTTATTTTGATGTTAAATATTAGTTGCAAGTCATAGCCAATTGTTTATAAGAGAGGAACTTTACTTATGAACTGCTGTATTAATAACTTCCGATACTTCCTGGATCTAACCTTCAGCCTAGTCAATAACTCAATTTCTAGTGCAAAGAACCATCCATGGTGTAGCAGTAATATAATCTGTAAATTTCAAGTTTCTTCCCCTTTATAGGGAAATATCTATTAATCTCAATTCAGCAAAATTGGTTCAAGTAACCATAGTTAATTGGTTAATTAGTTGAATGAGTATACCTGTATTTTATTGTACTGACTTTATTTTACATGGGGGAATGATTTTCTTTTTAAAAGTTTGAAATCCTTAAATAACCCACCCCATCCCACCCCCCAAAAATCACTGGCTATTACCAAATTAAATCATATGAAAGGGACTCATTCAATAAGCTAGTAAAATAATTGCATAACTAGCAATAAAATAAATATTATCTTACAAACAATAATCCATAACATTAGGCAATTTTATGTTTTAAAATGTTTTAAAATATAATAGATATTTATATTTTATAATATATAATAAATACATTTTACTAAGTATTGTTAAACATTTAAGCTTTAAGATACCTCTGCTTCTACATCCACATTCTGTTTCAGAAGCAATTTCAAAATGTCGACATGTCCATTTTGACTTGCAGCCTGCATAGCAGTGTGTCCAGCGCATTGTCCATTCACCTAAAATATATTAATAAGATCAAAGAAGTTTAAAATTAGACATTAAGAATATAGCCATGCTCATTAATAGCAGTATAATGTCAAGAAGAAACAGTTAAAAGGCAACATATTTACATTGTAAAAAATACCTTTTAGAGATCTGATCAATTGTCTTTCCAAATTATCTTTAATTTACTAAGTGTAATAATGGAGGAAATATATCTTAGATCTATTAAAATATTTTCGATTTATGCACACTGCCATAAATTGTGAAAAACAGCAGGATATGAACATATGAAGTATTAAAATATTAATTTAAAAAAACTGAATTGGAAAAAAATTATCCGGGTAGCATGTTGAGGGTAACTCGAGAAGATTGGATTAATTACTTGTTTTTTAAAACTTTACATCACTCCAAAACAAAATAATTATTTACAGGACTTTATAATGTAAACATCTTAGGAGGCTAATCTTTGAAACATTTGAAACAAAACAGTGCATTCAAAAAGTAATGAACCAAATGTTAAAGTGGATAGGTCTTCCTATTTTTAAACATAATTAATTTCCTATTTACAACAGGAAAGATTGTGAAAGAACAATCTATCTTTATTTTGATTACCCTGTTTCCCTGAAAATAAGATGTCCCCGAATAATAAGTCCAATCAGGCTTTTGAGTGCATGCGCTAAAATAAGCCCTTTCCTGAAAATAAGCCTCCCCCAAAATATTGCAACACAGCAGCAGCCATGAGGTGACTATGCTCACAGCCTCCCACACCTCAAAAATAATAAGACCTCTCCGAAAATAAGGCCAAGTGCCTATTTCAGGGATCAAAAGAAAATAAGACTCTGTCTTATTTTCAGGGAAACACGATACAAAATGTTTTATCTTTACAAAAACCTTTAATTATTGATCAGAAACTCTTAATTCCTCTTATTAGGAATGATATAATTAAATACTCACATCCACATCAGGTCTTTTAAGCAAATCTTCCACTTTTGCTACATCCCCATTAGCAGCTGCTTTAACCAGCTCCTCATTAAGATCCCCAGATTCTTGAGTTTCAAATAATTTTTTCAGCAACTGGGACAATCTCTCTGTGAATATTAAGTGAAACAATTAATATTACCAATGTATAGTATCTGAACGTAGTGTTGCATTTAAACAAAGTATTTTTATTTAATATACATGTAACAAACAATCAATATTTCACTATTATTTAAAGTTTGCTCCTTGCCTAGATCATGACTGCATACTAGCATTTCCTACAATGGAAACATTATGGTGGAGCAGATATTCATGAGTCTACCAAGAGCAAGCTTAAATGTTATTTATCACCTGCTAGATAATGAAGGTTAGAAAGTTATTCCTGTTACAGGAAACAATAACAAAATAAAAAGAACTGCAATAGGGGCAATAGAAAGTAAAGGTAGTACCAATAGTAATAGACACCTTGGGTGCTAACCCAAACAATTAAGAGCACCACTTGAATACCATCACTATTGACAAATTCACCATCAGTCAATTGCAAAAGCAGCTTTACTTGGAAAAGCTTACTCTTGCGGCAAAAATGCCAAATCCAGTCTGAACATCTGGGTGACTTATGCAATAAACCATTATAAATAGAATAGTGCTCAACAGTGTCCATATATACATCCAAGATATTGAAATGGATTTTTGACTTGACAAATGTGCTATGCTCACCATTAAAATGGCAAAAAGTAATGAAAACTGAAGGAACCAAAATGCCCTATAGAAATAACATCAAGAGTCTGGATGAAGACCTGGGAATCCTTCAAGCTGATATCATCAAGAATACTAAGTCCAGGAAAAGGTTAAAAGTGAATAAATCAAGAGAGTGAGGAAGATCTTAAAAGTCCAAACTCAGTGAAGGAAATAATATCAAGGCAATTAATACCTGGGCAATTCCATTCATTAGGTACACAACTGAATAGTGGACTGGACTCAAGCAGAATTATAGGCCCTGGATAGAAAGACCCAAAAATAATAACAATAAATCATGCCCTTCATACTTGTAGTGATATTGACAAATTCTATTTACCAAGCAAAATAGGTGAATGTGGGATGTTGCAAATACATCAGGTTGTTGAAGAAAAAAGAGCATTGGAAGAATATCTCAAGGACAGTGAAGAAGATGCAATGAAATTATACCAGGAAGGCTTATGAGTACTAGAGACCAAACTACAAGAAAGACTAAATGAAGAACAGAAAAAACACATGGAAAGACAAAATATTTTACATGGCCAATTCATTTTAAAAAATAGCAGGCAAAGCAGATACTAAGAACACCTGGCAATGACTAAGAGCATAAAAATTGAAGAAAGAGACAGAGGAGCTAATTCTAGTTGTACAAGACCAAGCCTTAAGAACAAATGCATACAGAATTGAGAAGACAGCGTGCCAACTCTGCAAAGAAGCTGAAGAAACAATGGATCATTTGGTTACCTGCTATAAGACAGCTTAACAGACAAATAACAGCATGACAAAGTAGCAACAATGATGCATTGGAAGATTTGCAAGAAATACCATTTGTGGACAACCGAGAACTGTTGGGATCATAAAATAGAGAAAGTTATAGAAAATGAAGAAGCTAAATTGCTCTGGAACTTTAGAATTCAAACAGACATGGACCTGACACATAACACCCCAGACATAATAACTATTGATAAGAAAGACAAAAAAGTCTGATAGTAGATGTGGCAGTATCTGGAGACAACAGAAAGAACTAGGGAAGGTAACAAAATACAAAGACCTGCAATTAGAAATAGAACAACTGGAGCACCACTTGAACATCGACAAATTCACCATCAGTCAATTGCAAAAGGCAGCTTTACTCAGAACAGTTTACATCCTGTGACATTATCTTTCACTATCAAATATTGACATTTGCTTATCCCAGTCCTATGGAAGGACTCGATAGATGAATAAAGATGTCAAACCCAGCCTGAACATCTAGCTAACTATATGACAAACCATTAATATAATATTGCCAAGGGGGTGGGGGAAGTGAAATTACAGAAATCGGTGAAGAATAAAAATGAAAATAGCAAACAAAAGATAGGGATAATAAAACTTAAAACATTTTATCATTTGAACAATTACTGTACAGTAGGGATAAAGTTGTTGAATAAAAACTGATGGAACCAAAAGGACAGAAGAAGAATGTGTCTGTAATAATAGCCTGTTTTTTTCTCTGCAGATCAGGAGAAAAGCCCATTGAGGTAACTGGCTTTGGAATGAGAACATGCTGTAATTGGCCTCCAATGCATTGTACTGTGCTGTGGTTTTGTGGTTTTTATGTTCATTGGTTCCTTTTATTCCATATTTAATTATCTGTTAGTTAACCAAGGCTCCAATTTATGAGTCAGGAGGTCACATAAATTGATTAAATAAATAAATAAAATCGTAATTCATGTATCTAACAAAATATCCAAGAGTAGGCTACACACTGTGTATTTTAGAACTATTCTAAATGAAACTGCTCTTAAAAGACAGCAACAAAAATTTAAAACTAAGAAACATAGCTGACTTCAAAATTTTAATTTCTTTAGTATTTATTAGCTTGTAACTTACCACCAGATGCATTGCTTATAGCTGATCCTGCGGAGGCTACCTTTGACACAGCAGCTGGATTGTATGTCCAAGACGTTCCACAAACCTCTACTTTTAAGTCACTATCCGAGTAGATCTGCTGGACCCTTCCAACTTTACCTAGGGTCTAGATTAAAGAAAACTAATATTATTTATAATATTTTATTTATAAAATCACCATTTTATATGGGCATCTTATTCTATATTTCAATAAAGTTCTGTGAAGGTTCACCTAATAATGAATGATTGCAGATCATTGGTATGTAAAAAAATAAGCTAATTTCTATTATCATTTCAATAAAATATTTTTATTATTTTCAATAAATTCAGTAATCAAATAATACAACTCATTTTAGCTAAGTGATCTTCTATCGCAGAGTTCCCCAACCTGTGAGGATTTTGCAACTGGGCTGTGGAAACAGCTGGAGAGCCCATAAGCATGCATATCCTCACTTGCGTGAGCAACAGGTGAGTGTTGTGTGCGCACTACATTTGTGTGGCACGTTTGGGCAAATGGAGCTGTGTGCACTTTATGGCTGCTTGCACGAATCATCTCCTCTGCCCCCCTCCTGCCGGTCCACAAAGTTGGGGAAATCTGTTCTACCAGATGATTTTCACATATTTAAGGTACTAGAAATTCATTGTACAAATGTCTAATCCTAGAAGATAAAGGAAGATATAGTTGAGAGAATAAATGTTATACATATAGTCCTCAACCTACGGCCACAATTAAGCACCAAATTTATGTTGCTAAGCAAGACATTTGTTAAGTGAATTTTGCCCCGTTTTATAATGTTTCTTGCCAGAGTTAAGTGAACCATTGCAGTTATTAAGTTAGTAACATGGTTATTAATTGAATCTGGCTTCCCCATTGATTCTGTTCGTCAGAAGGTTGCAAAAGATGATCACATGACCCTTACACAGCAAACCATCATAAACATGAACCAGTTGCCAAACATCCAAATTTTGATCACCTGATCTCGGGAACATTACAATGACTGAAAGTGTGAAAAACGGTCATTAGTCACTTTTTTCAGAGCCATTGAAACTTCGAACGGTCATTAAACAAGTGGTTGTAAGTTGAGAACTACCTGTGATTCATATTCAACAATATTCCTAGTCAATACTCAATAATGCTTAAAAAATAGGTAGACCTAATATTTCCATCAAACTTCATTCCAAATTCATAACTACTTGTGTTTCCTCGAAAATAGGACCGAGTCTTATTTTCTTTTGGGCCCCAAAATAAACACTAGGGCTTATTTTACAGAGTGTCTTATTCCCCCCACCAGGAGGGCCCACTTTTTCTATTTGTTTATAGTGAGGCAGGAGTCCATGTGGTATATTAATGCTGCTGCCGCAAGGCGGTGTAGTGATGGTGGAGCTGCCCCACACACCCCGCAGTGGCTTACCTCAGGGCCCTCACAGCTAGGACATGCCCGATACCTGCCTTGCCTCACAGCCATGGCAACAACACACCACTTGGTCTCCTGCTCCATTGTGGCCATGAGCAAGCAGAAAAAGTAGGCCATCAGCCACGTGGGCTGCTGTTGCACATGGTTGCCAGTGCTGTCATCATGAGGCAGGTGTTGAGGCGTGAATGGCCTGGCTGCAGGAGCCCTGAGGTAAGCCGGTGCTGGGTGCATGGGGCAGCTCTACCACCACACCTCACAACTGTAGCTCTGAGAGCAACCAGATAGAATGAGTGGCCGGCAGGCTGCGCGAACTCCTAAGTAGGGCTTATTTTGGAAGTAGGGCTTATATTAGGCGCATGTGTGAAAACATGATAGGCCTTATTTTCAGGATAGGTCTTATTTTCAAGGGAACAGGGCATTGTTTACGGTGTCATAATGGTAACTGCTGGAATAAACTATCCAAACAGAAAGTCATTTCTTCCTGATTGATTCATTATACCTGATTATCAATAGGATTTATCCAGAACGAGAAACCTATCTCCAGTGGACATAATTTGTATAATTTTCTAAAATTTCACTGTCATTCATTGAAAGATTTCACTTCAGTTCTGAAATAAACTTATCTACATTTTATTTCAAATTAATAACAACAAATATATTTATATAAACTTACAGGAAGCATTGCTTCAGCCCATTCACCATGTCCCCTTTGAAGCAACTTAATTCTTTCTAAGTCATAACAAACTTGGACAAGATCACCCACTTGAAATTGTGAAGCACCACCTTCAGCACCTTGCACACCATCTCCACTTCGGACAACATTGGCTTTAGTAAGAACAGCAGGGTTAAAGGTCCATCTAAAAAGTAAAAATAACATTATTATGGCAAGTGGTTTTATAGTTTTATGAAAGCGTAACCGCATAGTTCAGTTTTGCCTCCCATTTGCAAAAGATGCTTGATTATTATTAGAGAGGGCTGGAAATCACTATGAAGCGGTAAATAAGTCTAATTGCTAGTGCTATTGTTTTTATAACATTGCTTTTAGGATACAAATTATTAGTTTAAGTGAAAATGATTCAAGGATTTTTTTTAAAAAAATCAAGTAATTTAAAGGCAATCCAGTACTTTACAAGCCAGTTACATTAAGGTTTATTCTAAGTAGACCTGCTGATACTCTAATGAATATCAAGGAGGTAGTAGAATAAATCTTATTAAAGAAGAATCGTGGTAGTGCTCAAAAGATAGGTCTTACAAATCTTTCAAAGCACCATTAACTATGCAGTTAGGATGAACTGACAGATAAAGCTGACAGATATTTGAACTTTCTAAAACTTTTTACAGCTTTTATTAATGCAAATTTAATAGTCATGGACAAAAGAAAACATTTTACAAAATGCTGTTTCAGAAAAAAAGCATAGGCTAAGAATAAACAGACTGATGGTTGTAAGAAATAGAGCTGATGTTGCAAAATGTGCTTGTACTTGAGCTGATATTAATTTGCATCTCAGTTATCAGTTAGGTAGTTGACAATAATAAATACCAAGCTAACAACAATAAGCAGCAGCAGCAACAGTAGCAAAAGTGTAAAAGAATGAAGAGCTACACTTGGTAAAGGAATGAATCATTAAGGGAAGAGAAATAGCAACTCAGTCCTGAGAAAGAAGAAAATGTAGGAAAGAAGCTCAGATTAATTCTGCCTTAATTTTGTTTGGTATAAAATAGAGCTGAAAGAAAATTTGAGAGGCTTTTAAGATTCTGTTATTATATCCTGTAACAATAAACTAGCATTCCTGAATTCCCTCTGATGTCTGTTTCTTGATCTTAATCTACTTCAAAGGCCTGAATAAAAAAGTATTGGTGTATGAATAAAAAAACTTGGAGAATGGAAATTAAAATTACAAATATAGTTCAATATAAACTAGAGGGAAAAACAATATCATAACTTTATATGGAATGTATACAGACAAAAATAGCATCAGCTTGTAATGACTGACTAGCAAAGGGATTTTAAACTGTAAAACATAACTAGGAAAACACTGTCTTAATGTGTGACAATTGTGAAAAAAGATAAATTCATGTTAAGTATTAGAGGTATTCTCAGAATTCAATGTAGTCTTTTTCAACTTAAAAAGAAACTTAACAAATTTGTTTTGACTTTACCAGAGCTGTTTCAAGCTTACTCTGTTGCAGGTTGGAACATTTCTGGTAAAGTTTGCTACGAGTTCAGAGTGATTTGTTTTAAACCTGAAACAATTGTCTGAATTCAAAAAAGTGTCCTTATTGAAAACATTTTGCACATCTCATCTAACAATAATTTTAAAAAGGATTTTAAAATGTATGACTGCCAATATCACAGTTTCACAAAAAAGAAAGCCAAAGCAATTTTTTTAGAATGAGAACAATTTTGATAAGCTTTTCTTCATTGGGTATGTTTAAACAGAAGCAAGAGAGCCCTATGGTAGAAGTAGATTAATTTGGATTTCTGCATGAACTAGTAGATTGGAATCAAGAGTCTAAACCGCTCCTTCCAACTCCATGACCAAGACACTAAAGATCTCCCCTTGGATGAAACATTGGAAATATGGGAATTAAGCAAATTACTGTAATACATCGTGAAGGAAGTCAGAAAGAAAGAAAAAATACTTTTCCTCACAATACTGGAAACCTGGGTCATCCTTTAAAGCTAAATGGGAAAGTTTTTTTGTTTTTTTTAAGAAAAACCCAACAATAACAAAATAATTATATCATTCAATAGCATAAGACAACCTATAGGCATCTGTTTGGCCACTATAGAAAACACAATGCTGGATAAACCTTTGGTTTATCAGCATGCCTTTTAATTTAGTCTGATATTTGAAAAATAAAACTGCTCATATATTATTTTTTAAGAATGTAGTCATAAATCAGATTTTTAAGTATTCTAAGCAAAAACTGTCTAAGGGTCTAGAAAAATGTTTCCTTGTTCTATGTAGTATGATCTCAACAAAGAGTTGTTTATGACTAGAGGAAGGAGAATTAACTGTACAAAGAATTAAGGATACTGTTGTTGACAGTTTCCCCTGAAAAATCTTTGTGTACCTAATGCCTCTAGGTAAGGAACTGCACAGATTTTCAGGCTGAAGCTATAAAAGTGCTGTTAGACTGTAGCAGGAAACAGAAGTAGATCAAATATTCTTAAAGAAAAAGAATTGGGTAGTTTTCTTTACAAAAGTATTTGGAAAGGGATGAAAATGTACTATTCAAATTTGAACTGTTGGTTAAGTAGTGCTCGTGAGTAACACCAACCCAGAGCTGGGTTCCTACTGGTTCAGACCGGTTCGGCCAAGTAGGTAGTAACTCGGCCTGCTATGCCCCCGAACCGGTTCTCTCGGCTGCACCACAGGCACCACCACCTTGTTTTTTGCTTCTGTGGATGCACAGCATTTTTAGTACTGTGCATGCATGCATAGCACGCATCAAGCACGGGTGCAAAGCGCGTCCCTGAGTGAACCAGCAGTAGCAGCAGCCGGAACCCACCCCTGAACCAACCTTCCTTTATCATACTGTTAAAGAGGTTCTAAACTAAATATTTTAAACAGGCACTTCTCCAGTCAAGGTAAATAGCAAATGTACAAAATTTTACAAAAAATAGAAATAATCTTTATTGTATATATATATAAAGCAAAACTAATGTAGATGCTATTAATAATTATAATTTTGTTGCAAGACATAAGAAATGGGCAAATGACATAGAATGCTGAATGGAGAATCTAAAGATATTTCTGGGCTATATTAATTATTATATTCCTGAAAATTCTATTTGAGGGGGTAATTTAAAGGATCTAATTTGTGTATAAAACGTATAAAAAAAAAAGATGAATGTGTCACATTCTTATTTGTTATAGTATTTTGATGTGTTTATAACGAAAGTAATGCAGATTACTCATGGAATATACTTTAAGCTGCTATTAATTGGTGGAAATATTTCCTAGTAATACTATACAACATAGGTGTCAAACTCGATTGCATCACATGATGCATCCGACCTGCAGACCACCAGTTTGACATCCCTGCTATACAGGGCAATGAATATAAAATAAAGCCCAAGGCATTTACCCGAAAGCCACATCATCAATATGAATTAGCATTTCCATTCTTATTTAGAGATCTTGCATGACACAACATTAAATATAAAACACTAATTAAACACTTGTATAATAAGAATGATTTGCTTTATGAAAAATAAATTAATATACCTATTCCCACTTGGATATTGTACAACAATGTCATGATCTTCATCTATTCCACAAACTGTGCCAGTAGTTGTTAAGGTTTCAAACATTCCATCAGTCCATCCTCCATGACCATGTTGCAATGACTGAACAATTTCTAAGTCAAGATCAATGTTTACTAGATCACCAATCTGTAAACCACCAGGATTTCTGTTGCCATTCTGTTCTCCTAAAGTTAAGAATTTAAAGAGAATGTATGCTTTGGAAATTTCATCCATAAACAAACACATAATTCATAATCATATAGAAGGGTACATTGCTATTTTATTAGTCTAATCTCAGTAATGTAGAAACATAGCAGCATTACATAACTAAAAGTGAAATCAGGGAATAGTATTACCACTTCATGTGACAAACTTATGCAATTATAGTCTGGAAAAATACAATAAATATTAAGTAAAATGTTCTCTGGGCAGCACATAATGTTCTATCTTTGCATATGATTGCTCTAAAGGATTCTGAATTCTACAGTGAAAGACGACAAACTATTTCTGCCTGATGACCTGGAAGGGAAAGACGCAGATAATCAGATTCTTCTCTTTTCCTTAGTATGAATGAAATCAATATAATGGCATAATAATGGACACTTTTTGTTAAGAGGTACCAGCATCAGTAGAAACGGCAGGCTTGGAATCACGTTAAAGAAATAGAATTTAGCAGCTCCAAATAAGTCCATAGTAAGATTACCCACATTCTCATCAGATGCTAGGTTCTGGCTGTAGAAGTAATGAAGTAATGTATAATTTCAGAAAACATTTAACTTGCAGCCTTGCTCTTCTGCATTCCTTGACAGGGAGTCCAGCGATCACTATATTTGTGAATCCCAATAAACAACACTCACTTATTGCATTTACCTCTAAGAGTTATAGATTCCTTACGNTACAATACAATACAATACAATACAATACAATACAATACAATACAATACAATAGCAGAGTTGGAAGGGACCTTGGAGGTCTTCTAGTCCAAGCCCCCTGCCTAGGGAGGAAACCCTATACCATTTCAGACAAATGGCTATTCAACATCTTCTTAAAGACTTCCGGAGGCAAGCTGTTCCACTGGCTAAATTAATTTAGACTAATTATATTAACACTGGCATAATTAATTTAGCCAGTTCTAAGAAGGTTCCAGTTCTAAGGAACTCATATGAATACACCGGTGTCAGAGTATTGGGGAAGGGGAAATTTCCCATGTCCAACCAGAAGTAGGAGAAGAGTCATGGAGAAAGAAATATTCCGGCTTCTGGAAAAACAATGGGGAGGGACCATTCAGTTCTCAAGAACAGGTTATTCCATAGGGCTGTTCCATAATTTTCAGGTTAAGTAGAAGGATGATGTTTTGAGGGTTGTAAATCTTGCACCCTGGGGAATCAAAGGTGATTATCTTAGGCCCAATGAATATGTCAATTGTGAGTGTGTAGCCAGTCAGTGTCCAAGTCTATCAAAAAATATAATGGAGAAGTGAAATAAAGCTGTAACAATTCCTAATGATTGCTGAGTTCTAGAGGCTTGGTACAGAGATGGGTTGGTGCCAGTTCGGCCCAGTTTGGCCAAACCGGTAGTAGCAGCGGCGAGAGGCTCCGCCCTCCCACCTGGACGCTTCTGCACATGTGCAGAAGTGTTGTGCCGAGCACATGGGGGAGCGCGCCCAAAGTGGTAGTAAAGAAATTGGCAACCCACCTCTGGTTTGGTGGTCTCTCTAATGGGCCCTAGCTATGAAGTGCGACATCAGTTTCAATTTTATGAGAAGGCCGGATGAATATATTTGAATATATATAGGTAGAATATGTGTTATGGAAGTTTTGGTGAAGTTGCCTGTGCTTTAAACTATTCATGACAAAAGAGAATGACTGACTGCCTATATAAAATTTCCCCAGATTTCCTGAGAAAGAATTTACTTTATTTGATGCAAATTTTTATTTACAAGGCAAATATCAATTTTTATTTACAAGGCAAATATCAATTTTTTTTCCTGCTAGAGTTCTTTTTATATTTTACATGTACTGACCTGATGATGAGGTTTATACCATTGCTTTAAGTCCCAGTCCCAAAGAATCATCTGTAAAAACAAAAAACCAGGAAGTTATAAGCAAATTGTCCATATTTGGCAACATTCAAATCATGAATTACAAATAAAAAATACTTCTGTAAATTATCTATATTTGCTGCATTTAGCTGCTGCACTTCACTTCAATAAATAAAAAGTGAATACTGTATAAGGAAGTTCCTGGAAAATAGTTAATTAGTTTAAAAAGTAATTTAAACAATTTTGTATTTCACAAATTTCTTTCCCTATACATACTTTTTCAATATATTCATTAAAGTTATTTATTTGTTCAATTTATATAGCTGCCCATATGTGACTCTGGGCAGGTCAAAAAGGGGAAATATAAAAATATATCAAAATAATAAATATTAAATAACAATAATCAAAATAATTCAAAATTAAAACCTTAAAAACCATCAAAAGTATAATCTTCAACACTAACACATTTAAAATGAAAACTGTAAAAAACCATCTATGAGCATTTAAACCAAGCTTTTAACAGTATAGAAATTTAGCAGGATCCACATCACCAAAAGTTTTCCATTTCAGATTTAGAGACAATGGGATGGGCAGAAGAACTTTATTAGCATAGAGATAGTTGTCACTTTATCATTCATTCACATGTTCTCATTTTTCAAATTTCAGTAGAAGTTTATGTATTTCAGCAATCACATATTCATCATTTATACATCATTCAATTTCAAATTTGGTCTTGCAATATTCACAACCATAAACTCTTTTGTCTACTTTAAGTCTTTCCAACAGCTGTAAATAAGAAAACATTAGAAACTATATTCCTCTGCCATCAGTTCTCTTGATTTTATTCCATAGCCTGTGTTTGATCACATTCATCCTTTGCTGACCCCAATAACGCTCTAGATGTCTCTTCTCATGTATCATCTTCCTCAGCATTAACTATGGATAGTGATAGGATCTATGAGATGGGAGAGGTCACATGGATGCAATACAATCCAATGTCCACAGTTGTCCTCTCATTGGTGGCGAGTAAGGCTTCAGTCAGATTGTGCAAGCAGACCTTCAGATACAACTATCAGGTAAAATGAATAATGGTTCTGCTTATTAGTTGCTGATATTCTGGACACTGCAGTTTAAAAAACATGCTGAGAAATTAGAATGTATGTAGAGAAGGGAGACTAAATTGGTAAGGGGCCTAGAGATCAATCAAATAACGAAAAATTGAAAATAGATCATCCTTTTCTCTCCAGGCAAAAGTTAAGTGATTTGATAACCATCTTTCCACTAGATCTGGACAGGTGGCCATGTTCCAGGTCCTCTCAGTGAAAGAATGTTATCTACTGTGGTGTCTCCCATACCACCCACCTTAAGAAGAAGCCTCCCTCCAGAGATACAGATAGCCCTGTTGGCCTTTAGGAAAGCAGAAAACTTTTCCTGGAGCACTGGGGAAAGAATATTGAGGGACCTGGCATAGGATGAATGCAATTGTATTGAGGCCTCAACCTTGTTTAATTTTTTAAAGGTCCTTTTAGTGCATTGTGTTTTATTTTGTTTGCTGCCTGTGTTGGATGGGTCACTTTATAAGTTTCTTTAATAAATATACCGTAAAGGGTTTTGTTCTGTTTTTGTTCAGAACTGTAGGTCTTAAACCACATTAAAACAACTACAAAGGATCTAACTTACGTTTTAGGAGACAAAATATTAAAGAATGGAACATGACGTGGGGGGTAATGAAAAGCTGGATTGATGTTTTTTTAGAATTGATGTTAGAATTCTGAATTTCCTGCAACAGCTAGCAACTGAACTAGTGAATCTTTGAGCTTTATTCAGTGATGTTGGATGTAGGCAAAGATATTTTTTCAAATGTTAGAAGCTTCCACAAGGTGGTGCTCAAAACATAATTCTCGGAGAAATTATTATTTAATTTAGGTTCATGACTCTTTATTCAGTGAAAAATGAGAATACTAAAGATGTTACTTAAAAAAAATCTAACTAATCAGATTGAAGTCTTCTTTTATTATTTTTATTATTAGATTTTTATGTATTCTTTATTACTTTATGAGTTACACAAGGCAGTGAAACATACCTAATACTCCTTCCTTCTCCTATTTTCCCCACAACAACAATCCTGTGAGGTAGGTAGGGCTGACAGAGAATGAATGGCCCAAAGTTACCCTGCTAGCTTTCATGCCAAAGATGGGACTACAACTCACAGTCCCATCTCATGAAAAGATTGTTGATTTTATATATTTGTCTAAATAGTAAAGAGTCAATATGGATTAGGTGATGGACTAAAACTGGAGACCCATGTTCAAATCTACTGCTAGCCATGGAAATTGGATGATCTTATAGATTGTTCTGATAAAGATAAAATAAAGGCAGATTCCTAGGTAAGCCTCCATGAATTCCTGAAGAAACAGCTATAAATCAAATCAATAAATATCAAAGAGTACTAATGATTATGATGTGATGTTATTGTATTTTGCAATAATAAAAAAAGAATTTGAATGTGAGGCAGGGGTGGGTTCCTGCCAGTTCTAACCTCTTCTATAGAACAGGTTCCACAAATCTACAGTGCCGTTTAGAACCGGTTCCAGCTCCCTCCCCTCGCCCGTCCGCACACCATCAAGATGAAGAGCGAGAGGAGGAATNGGGGAGGGCAGGGGGAGGGAGGTAAATATTTGTAAAAGTTTTTTTTTCAAAATTTTCATTAAAAAAGCCTGTTTCTCCTTTGTGTAATCAGTAAAAATGCAACCGATAAGCCCTGCAAAAAAAAATAAAAAAAATTAGAAGCATGTCAGTTAAATAGGCTCCTATTTAAGAGCCATCTTGGTGGGAAAGAAAGGAGATATTCCTAAGATACAGTTTTACTAAAAAAGAAAGGCCACTGAAAATGCCAGCCAAAGACATGCCTGAGCATCTCATCTAATGATTTCCGCAGAGAGTAAACAAAGACAGCAGCTGGGCAACCTGAACATTCCACAGAGGGCTGCTACGCACACACACACAGACACACACACACTTTGCCAGGAGGAGAAACCCTTGCCAATTATAGCTATTTTACTATATTTATGAAGCAGCCACTGTGCAAGCTGCCCAAACTGTTTCCCGATGGGAAAAAGGCTGTATTTCTGAAGGATCGATTAGTTCTGGGTTGCAGTGGGCCCAATTGCCTGAGGTTACAGAAACAAAGCAAAGCGTAAGGGAACATCTATTGAGATAAGAGACAGTGCAAAGCCGGTATTTTTTCTCTTTTTTCTATCAGGACTAGCAGAAATTTGACCATTGGTCAAAACAACTGAGGACATCCAGATGATTTATTGCTACCCATCACCTTTTTACACTGTTTCATAATAGGGACTCGGAGATTGATAGGTATTCTCTTGGTGAGTTATACTGCAGTTGCTCAGGCTCAAAACTCTGATGCCATTTGTTCTGAGCAATGATCAAAGACTATTTTTGTTAAACTAAAATTTCTGCACAGAATGGGGTAAGGTAATAAACAAGGAAAGATCAAATCAGAATTAGACCCCCTAGGCACCGACTTGAACAAAATACTGTGCTTTTGTGAACAAAAGTAATCAAGCAAATGGCAAGTACATTTTTTAAAATATCAGAGCCAGCCAGATAATCCAGGTGTGAAGCACAGGTGAGCAAAAGATCCTGGATTTACATTCCTCAGGCACTGGATTCAGTTTTGCTCAAAGG